AAAACACGTTGCCTCCGCTTTAAATGATTACTTTTCATCAGTATTTTCTACCCCTAACATTACACAGTCAACACGAATACCTACCCGTTCCCCCGGCGCTGTATCCCCCGAAATAGCATTTAACCCCGAAGGAATCGTTAAACTAATCACCGGTCTTAAGATATCTTCAGCGCCAGGTCCTGACCAAATAACCCCCAAACTTTTAGTTAACACCGTCACAGTGGTTAGTCAGATTCTTTGCCTCATCTTCATGCAGTCCCTTGAAACAGCGAAATTCCAGACGATTGGAAGATAGGCAGAATAGTAGCCGTCTTCAAAACAGGAGAGCGAACGAATCCAGCAAACTACCGCCCTATTTCCCTGACAAGCATTCCCTCTAAATTACTAGAACACATTATATCTTCTTACATCATGACTCACCTTGAATCAATAAATTTCTTCTATAATCACCAGCACGGTTTCCGAAAGCACTTCTCATGCGAGATAACCTGCAGATTGATGCCATATTCCTAGACTTTTCCAAAGCTTTTGATCGCGTACCACACAACTTATTACTTAGCAAAATTAATTCCCTTGGCATTGCACAGAATATTGTCTCCTGGGTTAAACACTTCCTCTCCAACCGTAAACAATTCACCTCTGCTAATAATCATAACTCCTCTAAAACTCACGTATCATCAGGCGTCCCTCAGGGTGCGGGCTTATCACCTCTTCTATTTTTAATATTCATAAACGACCTGCCAACAAACATTCAAACAAAACTTCGACTATTTGCGGATGACTGTGTCATATACTCCCCCATTCACAACTTTGAAAACAGTACTAAACTACAGCAAGACCTCGACACAGTTGCGCTATGGTGCCAAGACTCATCAATGCCGTTAAATCTAACCAAATGCAAATCGATGTCATTTTCCCGTAAACGCACCACTGTTCATCATACATACTTTATCAATTCGCTTCCTCTCGATTCGGCTTCGTCATACAAGTATCTCGGAGTGCACATGTACCCATCTCTTTCATTTGCACCGCACGTACAGTCCATCTGCTCAGACGCTCTGCGTACGCTTGGTTTTCTGCGCCGTAACCTCAAATCAGCATCTCCTGACGTTAAAAAACTAGCATACTTAACATACGTACGACCAAAGCTCGAATACGCATCGTCCATTTGGAATCCATCCCAGGCATACCTCGTTAGCGAACTATAAGCAGTTCAAAACCGCGCTGCCCGCTTTATAACCTCACAGTACTCCAGAGAAATCAGCGTCACCGCCCTAAAACAATCAATTGAACTGCCATCACTCGCGTCGCGCCGCCTCATCTCGCGCCTATGCCTCCTCCACAGTTTCTTTTTCCGACCCCAATCAAGACACGAACTTTTACAGCCCCCAAACAGAACTTCTTCCCGCATTAACCATTCAAACCCCATTGCACGAATCAACGGCCGTACATCCGCAATGAACGACTCCTTTTTCCCCCAAGCAATAACACTTTGGAATCACCTTCCCGATACCATTGTTGCCACACCTGACCGCACATCATTCCGCGCAAAATTGGAATCCCACTTTGATTCCACCTATTAACCCGTGGCTGTAAATATATTCTACCAACGTACTGTATGTATAATTTGCTTGTGCCTAGTTATTTGTTCTCTAATTCCCAGCCAAAGCGTTTCTTTTGTGTGTTATTTGATTCATTTTTGTTGTCATTTTTGACCAAACTACCATATTAGAACTGTACTGTTTATAATAATTTGTTAAACTTGAATTATACACATTCACAGCGTATTTTTTGCCCCCCTTATGTAATGCCCTCGGGCCTTTAAGGATGCAATAAATAAAATAAAATAAAATAAAATTTATGTGTGTTCAGAGGCAGAGACTCGACGCGGACGATGGCAAACAGAAACTTCAGAGCCAGTGTCGATTTTGTGCTGCACTAAAGGAGTGTGTCCGAGCTCACTGGGCGACATTGCCACACAGTCACGGAATTTCCGTAGAAGTGCTTGAATCTCGGCTTTCTGTGACGGAGTCAAGTTGGGGCCGAAGTTGAATTCATTCCAGTCTAAGGATGATGCAGTTGGTGGCGAAGGTGCTACAGGCTGTACCGCTGCTACGACAGACGGTGCTTCAACGTAGGTGCAGGTACTGAGGACGGTGCCTGACGGCACGCACAGGATACTGTCAGACAGGTTGAAGACAAGCACTTCAAAGATTTTGCCAAAACAGCTATGAAGGGCCCGCGGCATTGCGAATTTGCCTCCAGGGCGGGAACAAACAGTACTTTCTACAAGAATGTCTTTGTCAACAAAGGACTTGTCGGAGCTGTAAACAGGAACCCACACAGCAGACGACAAGGGGATGGTAACTGGGGTTGCCTGTAATCACAGGATTGAAAAGCAGGGATGGTTTTCCAATTTCAGGTTGTTCACTTCTGTTCGTACCCACGGCCGTATTTGTGCCCGTTGTTAGAATGCCGACTTTCGAAGAAAATTTAATAATCAGACTTTTCATCATGCAGTAATTGTCAGCGAGCACAGAGCGCACTTCTTCAACAATTCTGCAAATGACATGACTTAACGGGAAAGACGACTGCCTAGAGCAAGCTTTATTGGAAGCTTCAAGACTTGCTCGAATTGGTGTCGAAGCGACAGACGTTAGTTCAATGGTGCAATCAGTGCCGCTAAATTGCAAACTAATGCCAAACTCTGTGCACCAATCACAGCCTAAGATCGCTGGCACACACAGGTTTGTAACAACAAGGAACCGCTGCCTCACTGTCTACCCAAGCGCACACACATTCAGGCATATTTCGCCAGAAGTAGGTAGAGTGGCTCCGGCAGCTAGGACGAGATGGGGGTCGATCGACCTGCTCAGGGCTCAACGAAAATCTTCCAGACAAGGAACTCATTGCTAAAAAAATTAATGCAGCCCCTGTGTCCACTAGTGCTTCAACGTTCTGCGGTGGATCTCCAAGCTTCACCGGCAGAGTTGGCATCTCGGAGAAGGGGCAAAGTGAAAGAAGAGGGGCTTCAGCCATCATGCGGGGTCCTGCCCTTGATGGCCCACATAGTAGTTTCCCGAGGAAGACTGCATAGGAGGAGCTGAATTTGTCATCGACTCAGTCACCAGAGGGAAGTTCTGAGCAAAATTCCCAACATCGTGGCAGTGGTAGCACTGGAGTACCGTTGTACTATCGTGGAGTCCGAGTAGGAGCCAAATGCCGGGTCCGGGATGGTGCGTCTGTGTAAGTTGGCCTCCGGTATGGATCCTCAGCTGCTTGCGAGCATTCTCGTACCTCCACCTCAAGAGCGACGGCTAAAGCTGATCGTACGTCAATCGGACGAGTGAGGCGGACGAGGCGGATGGCATCAACAAAGGCATTAGCAGCAATAAGGTCCATGGTTGTGGTAGGGCAACCCGACAAGGCCTTCAGGGACAAGCTGTCAATGTGAGCAGCAAGCTTTTGAAGGTAGCGGTGACCTTGCTGGTCGTTTCAGTTGTGTGAAGTAGAGCTGAAGAAGACGACTGTCGCCAAATCTGGTTTCCAGCGCCGAGACCAGAGCTTCATAGTTCGAGCGTACGACTTGCGGGATGTGCTCGAGGTATTCAACCGCGGCACCACGGAGCTGCACAACGAGCGCCTGAGCTTTATTTGGAACTGTACAGCCGTTTAGGGCAGCAACGAACTAGAACTACACCAAAAATGCTGCCCACGACATGGGTGCCATCGAAGGTAGGCGGTGGAAGTTGTGCTCCGAAAAACGGAGGCTCAGCCTACAGAGGAACATTTCGTTTGACCGCGGAAGACACACGTTGCTGATGGCCAGACTGCTCCTCAATGACGGAGAGCCGCACAGCTAGGTCGGCGACGACATCCGCCGTCGGGGCATGTTGCGCGAGGGTGGCCTCAAGAGAGAGCAAGCGGGTAGCGAAGAGAGTTTCGAAATTTTGCATAAAGGCCCATCTGTTGGCCTCGCCTTGCGAAATAAGGGCTTGCAGACAGTCAGGTATAAGTACGACTGGCACCAGCACTTGACTGTTGAGGGTGATTTGGCGTCTCCTGGGGCGCTGGTGGCGGGATGTGTGATAAGACTGGGGTTCCCACGGCCTGGGCCAAGCTTTGCTGCGTAGTTGGTGCAGGAGGTTCCAGGGCCGTCGACGACGTGTCGCCTTCCGTAGAATGCATCTGTGAAGTGCCGGCTGTTGCTGTCATCGCGACAGCCTTACTCCTTGTAAACATGGGTTAACGTTGTCACCACTGCCACCAAACGTAACGTACAAGAACCACTCGCTCGAACACAATCCAACACAACCTGTCTTGGTCGTTCTATTTTCCCGGTCTACCTCTCACGCGCTGGTCACCCCATTGCTATGATCCACTACAATATGAGCCTTAAAAACGCACTTTTCTTATATCGAATTATCTATATATCCGAGATCGACTGCAACAGGCGGGATAGCGACTCATCCCATTTGTTATTTCTTCGTTCCTTCTAGTCTGCACTGTTTTTACCATTTATCATATTATATCCAACATAATACACATACCTTATTGTCTGGCTTAACATTATTTCCTATATTGGCAGTCCTTCCAATTCTTGAATTATTTTCTAACCAAATATTACTACAAAAATACCTCGACCACAACCTACAATCGTGCAACGACTGGCTTATGTCCTTAAACCCTACTGAATGCAAACTAATCTCTTTCACTTATCATCTAAATCCCCTTCACTTCTCTATTAACATAGTTAATGTTTCTGTCAAAAATTTCATCACACCACGGTGGCAAAAATATGAAAAATACATTTGGAAATTTTTCACGTCATGAACAAATATGTCGCCACAAAATTCACAAATGAAACTTCAACCTTGCTTCTCTTTGCTAATAATGAACCTGTGATATTGAGACATATGGCATTAGTGTTTTCAGAGTGCAATTTGTCTATCTAAACAAAGTCATTGCTTCTCTTTAAAAAGCCCCAATGTGAGATTTACCTTTGGGTTCCCCACCGCCATTGGGGGACAGGTTGGTCCAGTAGATGCTGTGGTTCAGGTGCCCACCACCATTGAATTTGATTGCAACTGAAGCTGAGATAATGCTCTGGGTGCACTCTGTCGGGAAGCAAAACAAGAATTTAGAAAAAAAAAAAAACATTTATTGATTCATCCTACTTTTTTATGAAACCATGGTAATATATGCATTGGCTATGTCGGTTTCAAAAATACAGAGTAGATGTAGCTGCAAGGATACTATTTCTTAAAACAGCATTGACATTTTTTTGTTAGCTACATGCTATAATTTAAAACCGACTTCTAGTCTGTGAACAAGAAACCGGTATGCAGTTGCAAAATGTCACACCACCATGAGACTTGGTGAGTAGCCTGATAACTGTGAAATAAAATTGTTTATGCTCCAAACAAGACAAATATTTCTAGCATCCAAAATAACTTTGCAATAAATTAAAATGCCCCTCCATATTATCAGATGAGAGCCTTGTGCTAGTAAGGAAAACTCTGAACCAAACAAACTATTAAATGAAACACATAGCTCAGATTCACATGGCTAGGCCCGTCTTCACGTGTCCGGGTCTATGGTTTCACTGCTCGCTCACATGAATCCAGGAAGCGGGGGCACACTGTGGCCGACTGTTTGGCTGGTTTCCGCTAAGTACGCTAGTACGGTAGAGCTGTAACCCCTTCCAACAATGAACAGAAGTAGATTGGCTCATGGCAACAGCACTGCAGAGGATTGATTGATTTGTGGGGTTTAACGTCCCAAAACCACCATACGGTTATGAGAGACGCCGTAGTGGAGGGCTCTGGAAATTTCGACCACCTGGGGTTCTTTAACGTGCACCCAAATCTGAGCACAAGGGCCTACAACATTTCCGCCTCCATCGGAAATACAGCCGGGATTTGAACCCGCGACCTGCGGGTCAGCAGCCGAGTACCTTAGCCACTAGAACACCGCGGCGGGACAGCACTGCAGAAGGAAGGATGTGTTTAGAACTCAATGCGACTTTTGAACCAGGGTATGGGTAAACTTCTCTTCGACTCCTGTAACGGTCGCCGTGAGAAATGGGCACAGCTATTGGGAACCTTGTGGTGCTCCCAGCAAACTGTGAAAGGTGTGTGGCTGTTGGGAGCGACTCTTGGGCATTATTGTATTGATGACGAGTAGGCAAGCGAAGGCCATGCTGCCTGCCAAACGCCCCAACTGTTCGCACTTATAGCAGACTTCTTGAGTGACGTCTTGGCAGCAGCGGAAGGCTGGAGCCCCATATTGTGTGGTAATGGCTTCATAGCATTGTTCTTATTGTTCTATGAATAAGTCAGAAAAAAATGTGTTGTTTTGACTATGCTGTTGTAGCTGCTGTAAGCACTGGTAGGTGAAAACTGTGCTGTTGATGTGCTAAATTGCCACTTTGAACTGACTGGAGGAGGCCATACCAGAGGATTTGTGCTTGCCATGTAATGAATATGGCGAGTGCACATGGATTTGAAGATTGATACGTGGGGTTTAACATCCCCAAACCAGCGTATTATTATGAGAGACGCCGTAGTAGAGGGCTCCGGATATTTCGACATCGTGGGGTTCTTTAACGTGCCCCCAAATCTGAGCACACGGGCCTACAACATTTTCACTTCCATGGGAAATGCAGCCATCAGCAGCCAGGATTCGATCCCACGACCTGCGCGTCAGCGGGCGAGTACCTTAGCCACTAGACCACCGCAGCGAGGTGGATTTGAAGATTAGCCACGATGGCTGCAATAACATGCTGGCTGATTGATGTCTTGAAGCAGGTAGTCAATTTTCTGGGTGTCGGCAAGCATTATGGGGCAGTTTACAATCTCCCACAGCTTCGCATAAGCGTACTCTTATAGGCTCCTGCCTAGGCCCTGCCTGACCTCGACGCGTTCCTGACACTCTTGAAGAGTGTCAGCTCCGACAAAAATGCTTCATTTAAGGCGGCGCTCCACGTTTCCCACTTTTGATGATTATTCCCAAAAGGCAATAATCATCAAATGCCAATTTAGAAATCGGCCTTTGAGTTTACTTGCGGCAATAAGGCATGCGGTAGCGTTGTCCCATGCGGCAAGCTGTTGTATGCGGCAGATGTCATTGATCTATGCATCAATATTTTTCATGAGAGAATCACCGAAATACACTACAAATGAGGATAAGTCAGGCACTGTGGTAATTTTTATCAAGGGGCGTAAAAGCTGCTAGCCAGGCTTTTGAGTGTTGCAATATCAAACAGCAAACGCGTGTTGCCGAATGACGGCTTCGAGACGCTGAAGAAGTTCTTTGGTACGTCTAGTCAAGGTCAGCTGTGAACTGCAGTATGATCACATAATCAAGCTCTTCCCAATTTATCCCTGGCATGATGCACTGTCAAGCAACGCTTGCCAAACCACGCTCGCAAAGGCGAATGAAAAGGCGAAAAGCTATTGAGCAGCGCTTCTGTGCTGCCGTGGCTGGCTGGCTCGGCGAAGGACCGGCGCCGTCTGTGCCAAATGTGAGGCTTGTGCTGGTCTGAGGAAAAACTCTCGATTAAATAAACTATTTAACTGAAACTTATGACTCCGATTTACATGGTTAGGCACGTCTTTATGCGTCAGCGTCTATGGCTTGACTGCTCGCTCACATAAATCCTGAAAGCAGGGGCACACTATGGCCAACTGTTTGGCTGGTTCCAGCTAAGCGCGCTTGTACGCCGCTCACACGGATAGATGAATGAAACGATCTAATTATCTTAGTGCTTCAGCCAACACATCTCAGCGATACCTTTTTGTGACGGCATTCAGATAAAGGCAGCCAGATGTTGCGAGCTAGGAGTGATCTATAACACGTACAACGCTCATGTAAGTGGGAAAACAGGGAGTGCCTGAAAATCCACTAAGTACACCATACTGGTGAGGATGTCACACGGTGATGCCGACTCAGGCCAGCAGTTCCAATCATTAGTAAAAGACACAGGAAGCATGCTCAAAGCAATGTACCCATGTACACAGGAGGACAGAACAATAGAACTTGCTCAGTTTCAAACCATGGTATCAGTGAGCCTTTAAAACAAAATCTTGTCATAATGTAGGCTCCTGCAAATTTCCTTAATTCTTATGTAGATTAGTTAGAAGTGGTTATGCAGTTCAAGGTACCACCGGGGCAAGTCTGAGCACTTTGCCAAAAAAAGAGGTTGCAAAAAGCAAAACAAAAAACTGAAAACACACACACGCGGCCAATGCCGAGATGACAATGCACAAGCATTGCCAATTAAATGAAATATGACTTCATGAAAACCTCACATATAAAAACTCGTATGGTGTATAACATTAGGTGTGGGAATTTTTTTTAAAATGGGGTGTGCAAGGGACACAGTGGTATTCGCAAAATATGACCCCAGTGGCCTTCTGAATGAATGAGCTCTTTTTTGGAGGCATAAACAAAAGGCGGGGACCAATTTACTGGCCCTGTAAAAAAAATATTGCCTAAAATATTTATTCTTTTGACACCAATTCTACCAATTGCAAAGTAAACTTCTCTATCTTGTGTAGCAGCACGCTGCTTAAGCTAAAAATTACCTGAAATTTATTGGCAAGCAGCCGGCTTATAAAACGATCCTATGGTATGTGACGCAGGCAAGTAAAAAAAAGTGTTCCACACTTGCCAATCATGGCTGTATCGGCGCTGACTGATGCTCTCATGTTTATATTCCCAGATATACTCAATGAGGTGGACAGAGAAATGACTGCTGCTGTAGCTCCATTGGTAGAGCACTAGACGTGTGATTCAAAGGTTGCAAACCTGGTCCCTGCCAGCAGCAAGTTATCTTTTTGTTCACTTGACTTCACATTCACGGTAATACTAATAACATCCCCAATACTTGGTATTATTGTTCGTTAGTTCTCATTGCATTCAGTAAAGAAAAAGATTCTTCCCTAACTTTTCCAGCATGACACAGGTACTACTGTACTCACTCTTGGCCAGTGCTTCCGACATCTTCTCCTCAGCAGCGTTGAGGTTGTTTACGTAGGCAGCATGGTGCTTGTCGTGATGGACGTGCATAATGTCTGCCGAAATGATGGGCTCCAAAGCTTTGTAGTCGTACGGGAGGTCAGGCAGGGTGTGCTTACTGCGACCACCTGCATAGCCAAGCCTGTCAAGAAGACGTTAGAGAAGTGAATTGAAATTATGCCCCCAGGTCAGTCTACTGTTAGAAAAAACACACAGGCGTGTGGCCCATCTTTCATGCAGTACAAGCAGTGAAAACCAAACGCATGGGCATATCAACAAAGAAGTGGTAAATGCCCTATGTCGTCTGCTACTGAAACGCCCCTTTCATGGCCCACTTGTGGCTGCCCTGTCACGGCTATTCGAAGGACTCATGAGCTGTGCAAGAATTTCCAGCTTCTACTTCCTATTTGTTAGATTACATGTAACATGATGATCACAATATTGCCACACTTCTTTCTCAAATTGTGTTATCGCCTCATTACACGTGGAAGTGCTGTCTTGCACAAACCAGGCCTGTTGACTAAGAACCATCCAGATAATCAATCGTAGAACTTTCCAATATGATTACGCACACTATGTGAACATTACACAGTTTTCTGGAATTTACGTTCCAGAAAACGCTATAGATAACACTAGAATATTCAGCGGCACATGTATAATTGCCGACTTGCATCACTGCTAGTCAGTTGATCGACAGGCTGATGCTCTGTTCACCGCTATCACTTCCAGTGTTGATCATTGTAATCTGACTTCCGATTTACTGGCCACACGTTTGGCCAAATAAACAGTTTCATTTTGGACACCCCGTCTCTGCCATTTTAAGTGTCACGACCTCGTGATATCTGGTGGAGGTGCTGCTTCCTACATGTACCGGACACCCTTGTCAATCTGTGAACCCAGCTCAAGTCGGAAAGTACACATTGATGCCAACCACGAGCAACAAGCTAACGGCAACAAGGTCTACCACCAGAGTAAGGGCCTCTACCTCCAAAGACCCAAAAAACTAAGACCCTGACCTCAAGCATGAAGACAATGACAGCCCCTGTCGATTTCCGCTGTCGACGATGACAGCCACCGATTTTGCTTTGGCAACCCAAGGAGCAACGAACTTTTCGCGGTTCATACCTCGAAGACTTGAAAACCTGGCTTGAGACATACGACCGTGTCGCCACCTTTAATTGGAGCATTGAGGACAAGCTGTAATACGCTTACTTCTACCTGGAAGAGTCGGCAGGACCCTGGTTTGAAAACCGAAAGTCCTCACTTCAAACCTAAGATATTTTCGCAGCGCATTCATCCACAACTTCACGTGCATCATCCACAAGGAAAAGCCGCCCCGCCACGGTAGTCTAGTGGCTAAGGTACTCGGCTGCTGACCCGCAGGTCGCGGGATCAAATCCCGGTTGTGGCGGCTGCATTTCCGATGGAGGCGGAAATGTTGTAGGCCCGTGTACTCAGATTTGGGTGCACGTTAAAGAACCCCAGGTGGTCGAAATTTCCGGAACCCTCCACTACGGCGTCTCTCATAATCATATAGTGGCTTTGGGACGTTAAACCCCACAAATCAATCAATCAACAAAGAAAGAGCCGCTTTTCTTGCTAGAGACTCGGCTGCAGCTACCAAATGAAAAAGTCCCCACCTTCACAAAAGAGATGACTCGACTATTCCGCCTAGCCGACGCTGCGATGGCCAAAAACAAAAAAGTTCGCTTGCTCATATGGCGGGTAAAAGAAAAACACACATAAATCAACAAACAAGCAAAGCATCATTGAAGGCGACCAGTACCTGTTGATCAACCACGAGATTTACATCCCCACAGGAATAGCCTAGCTGCGGGGAGGGAAAGCGACGTTGGTGCTCTCGAACTTCATAGCTGCGGGGAGGGAAAGCGACGTTGGTGCTCTCGAACTTCAGTAATGAGTACAAGTGCGTGACCAAAGGCACCGGTTGCCTACATTGAAGGTATAGCCAGCAATACTATCACCCTCATCGACACTACTGAGCCTACTTCGACAAATCAAGGTCCCCAGCCAGATTTGGACGTCAATTTGAGCTTTCCGAAGCACCAGAAAGACCAACTCGAAGCCCTGCTCCTGTGATTCAAAGATTGCTTCTCGTCGTAGTCAAGAATCAGACATACCCTCTCGCTAAACATCATATCATGACAGAGGAAAATGCGAGAACACTCAGTCAGAGCCCGTGCTGAGTTACAATGCGGGAACGTGAGACCATAAAGAAACAAGTCGACGATATCCTACTAGACATCATCCAGTCTTGACAGAGTTTATGGGCATCACCTGTTGTGTTAGTCAAGAAGAAGGACGGAACCCTACACTGATGTGTTGACTATCACACCATGAACGAAATCATGAAGAAGGACGTGTACCCTCTTCCGGGAATAACTACGCCCTGGATCGACTCCACAATGCAAGGTACTCGGATTGCGCAGCCATTGAAAGAAGGAACCAAATGCGCACTTGTTGCGGCAATCCGCGAGAAAAGGCAGCGAGACCCTTTAATCCCGGAGCTCGTCACAGATGTGCTAATCCGCTCGCAGAAAGGCCCCTCCGCACAGAGGCCACCTTTTCTTCAATAGATCCTCAAGACCAGCTACTGGCAAATCGAAGTTGATGAGAAAGATAAAAAAAAAAAAAGACTGCCTCTATAACGCTGAACGACCTGTTCGAGCTCTAAGTCGTGCCCTCGGTCTTTTCTCAGCGCTTGCAACTTTCCAACAAGTCATAGATATTAGTCCTGCTTGGCTTGGAAGTGGCAGACTTACCTAATTAACTTGGACGATATCGTCGTGATTTCCTCAAACTTTGACAAACACCTCAAGTATCTTGAATTCATACTTCAAGCAATCTGTAGTTCTGGACACACTTTTAAGCCAGAGAAACGCCCCTTTTCATACAAAAAGCTCCCCTTTTAGGGTCACGTCATCGACCCGCAGGAAACAGCTGCGATCGCCGCCTTCCCGCCACCCACCGACAAGAAGGCCGTGTGCTGCTTTCCCAGCTAGTGCGCCTATTACAGAAGCTTCGTCAAGGACTTCTCACAGATCACCAAGCGACTGACGCAGCTCGCAAAGACGAATGTCGAATTCAGGTGGAAAACGACGCAACAGGAAGCATTTTAAGAACTAAATGACTGCAGACGCTTCCAATACTTGTGCACTTCCACGAATACGATGATACAGAAATGCACACCAACACAAGTAGAGTAGGACTTGATGCCAATTTCATGCAGAAGACTAACGGAGGAGCAAGGGTTTTCAATAACGCTAGTCAGTCGCTATGCAATGCAGAAGGCAACTATTCCACAACAAAAAAAGAGTGTCTTGCCATCATTTGGGCAACATCAAAGTTCCACCCCTGCCTCTATCGAAGGCCCTTCAATGCCTTCGATAGAGGCATTGAAGGGCCTTCAAGACCACCACGCCTTGTGCTGGCTAGTTAACTAGAAGGACCCTTCAGGTCATTTTGCACGATGGAGTCTCAGACTTGAAGAGTTCGACTTTGCCGTCATACACAAGTGCGGACGAAAAGACTGACACCGACTGCCTGTCCCATGCCCCAGTTGACCCACCACCGCAGGACGACAAGGAAGGTGACTACTTCCTGGGAACCTTAATCACTGATAACTTCACTGAACAACAGCGAGCAGATGCGGAAGTGAAGAACCTGGTGGAATACCTAGAGGGCAAGGCCACCGTTGTTTTTCTAGTGGATCGCTGTTCTACTGAAAAACTAGCAAACTAACAAGCAAAAAAAGAAACACTTCTTGCAACTTCGAGCCAACTACTTCCAGTAATACCTTCAGCGTTATGTCAAGAAGTTCTGAATGCTCTTCACGACCTTGATTTTCCCATATGCTTGTGAGGATACAAGAAAATTCTTACTGGCATCGGCTAACTGCCGATGAGACCCATTACATCAAGACTTGTAGAGACTGTCAGGGATGAAAGATACCGCCAACTACATACCTCCTGAGCTCAAGGATCCCGAATCCGGGAAATTTCAGCAACGCGAGGAGGGGGGGGGGGGGGGAGAGTCGTGCTGATTTACTTGTTTTCTTTTTTGCACAAAAAAAATCTAAAAAAAAAAAACGAGAAAAGGGGGAGGTCGAACAACCTCGCAAGTGTAAACATTGGCGTCATGGTCTTATAATGGCTTGGAGTGCCAAACACACGATGGTAGGTCTTCCCAAGTACACTATAAGGTGCGAGTCTCAAAGGGAAGGCGTAAATACTCCCGAAATTCTGCATCATGAAAGCACCAAGCAAAATCATTTTTGTGAAAAGAACTGGTGCATGTCTTCTAAGAACAATGTGAACGGAGCAGCTGGCTGCCGTGAAGGCATGGGTGAAAGCTTTGCTTTCCATCATTATTCAATACCTACAGTGAAAATTTAGTCTCTATTCTGCCTTTCATCTTACTCAAAGTGGTGAATTGATTAAACAGTGGGTTGCGCCTCCTCAAGTACAAAAGTCTATTACTGCTTGAGAAAGCTCCAAGATTCAGGTATTATTTAACCTCACTTTATTTTGTAAATGGCATTCAGTTTCAGTTTCTGGGTGCAGTGTTAGACACTGATGTCACTGGATAGGAAGCTTGAACACGTGGCCTAAAATGCTGTGATCGACGCAGTGCTGCATCATCTCCTCCCACACACAAACACAAGCAACTGTTCAGATGCCTACCATACTGACTAAAATTCTCTAGTAGAAAATGTTTGAGTTTAGAGCACTGCGGTACACACAGAAATGTTTCCAATGTATAGTACGGTCCACTGTTAGGGGGAACACGTGAGCGTGTGGCCGGCCGTCTGTGGGGCGCTAACTGCTGGCGTGATTCGGAAACACAGAGCATACGCACAGAATCGCAAGGGCAGTTCGTGCCCTGCGTTGTCTGCTACTCCCCACTTTAGCGCTCGGCGTGCGCTAACGCCATGCTTTGTTTCAGTGAATGGAAGGAGAATCCAGCTATGCTCACTGCATCAAGCACTGATTTTTTTGTTATCAAAGGCAACCACCTGATTCAAGCGTCGTGCAAAGCTTATGACTAACATTTCTGTGAGGATTGACATTGTAAGTTACGCAAGTGATGGGCTTTGTTATTGCTTTCACAGAATTCCACAGC